TGGAAGTGGTAGCATGCCAGCCTTTAGTGAAAAGCCTAGGGAATATGCCAGGCCCTCCCTGAGTTCAAACCCCACAGCTAACTATTAAAAGAAAAAAGAAACAATTATGAACAAACAAAAACCTAAATACTTGCTCATTGCCTTTGTTCTTCTATTTTTCTTTGTTCTTGTATCTGTACACTTCATATCATTCCATTTTCTACTTTCTTCCTTTCACTTTGGGGGATTGAACCTTGGGACTTGCACATGGAAGGTGGATACTACATACCAACCTATTCTTTCTTCTTTTAACATACAAAGTCTGCTTATAGGACAGGCAAGGTAGCGAAGTGGTACAGGGCTTGCATCGCATGAATGAGGAGCTGGGTTCTATTCCTCAGGTCCACATGCACAGAAAAACCTGGAAGTGGTGCTGTGGCTCCAGTGGTAGAATGCTACACTTTAGCAAAAGCAGCTCAGGGACAGCACCTGGCCTCTGAGTTCAAGCCTAAGGACCAGCAAAACAAAAAGTCTGCTCACTTAAATTAGTCAATGCTTCCCTGCAATTTAAATGACAAACTTACAAGTGACTTTAGTTCACTTTCAATACTACTGTCCTCCTTTCCAGTGAGTGCAGGGGCCACACACAGAAGAGACTCTATGCCTCTGCTGTCACTTGTAAACTAGCTGTTGTACAACAGTAAGCATCAACACATACATTTCTGTTCTTATTATCTTGAACACAATGGTCTTTGTGAAGGTAGGTAAAAATAAGTGAAGGAAACCTTTCCTTTTCACTTATTGGTTGTGATTGTAAAGCATCTATCTTGCTGAGGAATTAAGTCTGACACTCTTGTCATTTGAGCTCTCTCTGAACTACTTTTCAATTTCTTTTTAGGACACACACACACACACACACACACACAAATATCCTGAAGAATTTTAACTAGTTTATCAGACAATAGTTTTACTACCAATTCTTCTTGTCCACAGCAATTGTATCATCTACATAAGGCAAGACACTTACATTAGGCACTGGCTTAACTTGACTAACAGGTCCCTGTGTCAACAGTCAGCCCTCCTGAAACCTGGGCACACCATGTCCCATGCTAGAGGTACCATGTGGTGCTGGTAGTGTACTGATAGGTAGCACAGGCCCTGTTCTGGGCTCCTCACTCCTGTCCCAAGGGGCTTGCCAGGCTTGCATATTGCATGAAGACTTTGGCACTGTGCTCCTTTCCTTGGCTGTCTCCTCACCAATCTTTTCTTTCCTGTACCTTGCATTTTGAGTTCTGGCCTAGACTATGAGCCCAAACAACTTCCAACACACCTGATGAAGTCTCTACATCAAACTTTTGGTAACAAACATTTAAGTTAGAATGCACATATAAAGATTTGGCTTGGTTTTGCTCAGACCCCATGGACAAGTGAAGAAAAGATGGTTAGCTGTGGATGCTCCCGGTAGTGATTTTCTCAAAGTACTGACAACTTTATAACAGGGACTTCATACAAGGATGTTTTTGATCCAGAAACTTGAACAAAAAAAAAAATAAAAAGAACCTCAGAATTCATTGAGGAAACAGAAAAGAGAGGTTAGGGTAAGATGTTTCTCAAAGGAGCAGGAAAAATGTACACTTAATACTCTGCTAATTATGGGAGGAAAAATGACCTAGAGGTGGACAACAATAAAGATATAAGTGCTCAAGGTAATGGAAGGAGGCCTTGGGTGGTCCCTGAGGTTCTAATGAAAATCCTATGAGAGCCTTGTTCAGTACCCACCGTGCTCAGTATCCCAGCTTCTGACCCTTCCAGTCACTCTGAGATGCATCATTCCAGGTTAACCTCAGGAAGAAACAAGGATTCACCTAAAATCCTGCTCTCTCATTGGGATCAAGATTGCTTGGGAACTGGAGGTTTTGGTTAAATACTTAGATCTCTGGAGAGCAGACTCTTCAGGGTCATGACTTTGGGTCATATGAACTGCCCCTGCTGATGATATCACAATGTTCGGTAACATAGATGTGACTATGTTTGTATACTTTATCCAGTAATATTCAATGAATGGCTATTGAAAATAATCTAATTTAGAGTTGAAATCTTTGAACAAAGGCAGACCTCTTCTAAAGCCTAACTTTGGATATTGCTACAGGATGAAACTTGTGATAGGACCATTGACATTCTGAAAAATTATATAACAACCCAGTCTTAGTGATTAGTTCTACGGTGGATATGTGCCCAAATCATGGTTCACTACTTTTCTTCTCAGGACATAGTAGCTTTTAGAATGAGCTGAAACTACACATACTGTCATTCACCCCTGGGAGTGGCCTTGAAATAAAGTGCAATCCATAAGGGAAGAACAACAAAATTGCTTCTACACATCTGGACAGAACACACTGAAAAGAGTATGTCTCCTACATCTGTGTGCACACAGTAGAAGACCATTGTTTTCTCATTCAAATATATTGGTATTCTGGGATCTTAAATGATCATTATTGACTCCTTCTTTTCTTATGATACTGTTTCAAGTATATTGAAATATTTGGCCACATTTTATATGTGGAGATCTCTCTTGGAATGTCTAATTCCTACAGATGTGGACCACATTGTCCTACATAGTAACTTGAACCTCTGCAAGGACCTATGAACTAGTCAGAAATATAAAGGTATATGCATGTGCATTCACATGACAAAAGATACCAAACTATTTGTGACAATTTATTATTACCCAGGCTTTAAGACATTTCAATATCAACTTCAATTGACGGACCATGACTATACCCTATGGAGTATTTTAGGTTTCTATAGGAATGGAAATTTTCCTGCACGAAGGCCAAAGAACCCATTTTTAAAAATATCTTCCCTGGCCTTGAAGTTCTTTCTACTCAGGGCCTAGGTACTGTCCCTGAGATTTTGTAATAAAGGAACAAAAGTGATGACAGTCTACCAACATGATTCACAGCACTACTTGTGGGAAAATAGGCGAAAACTTTCTCAGAGCATTTCCTACCTAGTTGGCCTTTCAATTGTGATTTTAAAACTCATACTCTTGAGCAATTAAGAATTCCAATGTGAAGCACCAGTGCCCTGTTAGATCAGGAGATCTTAACTACTTGATCCAAGCAGGACTCATGGTTTCCACAGAATACAATATAAAATCCATAACATCATATTGACATAGGCAAAGGTCCTTTTGCAATCACTTGGTAAAGGACTGTTTACCTATCATTCTGTAAACCACATCCAAATTCTTCCACTAAATATTTGGAAGAATGCATTGTTTGCACACATCATATTAGTGGTCCTCAGGTTGAATTCAGGGACAAAATTAGTGAGGCTTCCTTTACCTTCTATACCAGATGCCTTTTTGTATCACTGATTTTTCACATTAAAGTCTTGCTTCTTTGTCTGGGTCTTTCAACACACTAATTTTATACTTACATATCACAAGTAGCAAACAAGGTAGGCACATATGACCAGATCCATCCTTTTATTGACTAAGAAACCATATTCATAAAGCTTTTGCATTGGATGGCCTACAAATACTACCTTTCTAATTTCAGCCTCCTGAGTAGCTAAGATTCCACACATGAGGGAGTGTCATTGCTCATTTTTAATTGCAGGTTTTAAATTAAAAGAAAGAAAGGGTACTTTACCAACTCAGTGAGCAGTAAGTCCCTTAAATTTTGAGCTCAAGCAAAAGTATTTGCCAAAGGATAATATTGAATGACACCATCCCCACTCAACACGATGAGAGGATGAGAAATGTTGGCTCAATGAAAGCTGAAGAGTGAAGAATGGTTTCCCTTCACACCTAGCTGACATCTTCCATGAAGGATTTCTCTGTATAATTTACAGAGGTTTTCTGACAAAGATTTTCCTACATTGGGCTTCTTTCCTGGGTGAATGTTCTAATACTTGGTGAAGGTTGGCTTCTGGTTTAAAGACTTCCTCTCATGTTTATATTTACAGAGATTCTGTCATGTGTCCAGGTCTCTGATACCTGTACAGATCGGACTTCGGGAAAAATGTTTTCTATACTCATAATTTCTTTCCTGTCTCTGCTCTCACATATGCTGAGGACTCAGTTCTGATTGAAAGTCATTTCACATATGTTCTATGCACTACTTTCTTTTCTCCTATGTGAGTCAGTTCTCTGGTAAACATGAGGTATTCCATTCTGATCAAAGGATTTCCACATTTGCAATATTGTTCATTTTATTTTATTGTGAACATACTGTACAGAGGGGTTACAATTACATGGGCAAGATAATGAGTGCATTTCTTATCAAGCATTGCAGCCTCCTCTTTTGTTTACCCTTCACATCCCTTCCCAGCCTCCCCCTGCCCCACCACCCTATTCTCCCCCCTCCACCAAAGTTGTAAAGTTCATTTTCGACATGACAACTTGTACTTCTCATTGTTGCAACGGGTCCACCTGTATGCTTAAATGACTTGTTCTTCCCCTTCTCCTCCACAAATTATACCTACATCAAATACAGTGAAAGCAGGGATTATACTGTGTGGGAGGGACATACAAAGCAACAAAGAAATAATCTTATAAATGCATTAGAAAGAAATGCATGAAAGAAAAAAAACATTTAAATACATAGATAAGGGTTCATTTTCCTAACACCACATTATCTGACCTTTTCTGCTTGACTCATACATATACTACATATTGCAAATAATAGGTCCCATGGTTTCCCTTATTCACATTTGTAATATTTTTAAGATTACTCCGCTGTGTGTGTCCTATGAACTTGGATCCATGAATACTTGGTAAAGGACTTTCCACAATTGTTACATTTGTATATTCTCGTCTGTGTCTGTTCTCTGATGCAAACTGAGTTAGGACTTTTTCTTGAAAACCTTTCCATTTATTTTTCCTACATAGGATTTCTCTCCTCTTTGTGTGTGAGGGTGTGTGTGTGTGTCTGTGTGTCTCTGTGTTTTGTGTGTTCTATGATGAACCCTGAGCTGTGTCTTACAAGTCAAAGACTTTCCCATTTAGTACAATCCTAAGTTATTTCATTTGTGTGAATCAACTTATGTGTGTTAAGCTGTGACCTCCAGGTCTTTCCACACTGGTTGTATTCATAAGGTTTCTCTTCTTGTGTTCTGTGATGGATGTTAAGTTGTGCCTTCCAGGTGAAAGAATTTCCATGCTTGCTACATACATAACATTTCTCTCTGGTGGGATTTTTTCTGATGGAGAGAAAGGTGTATGTTCTGGGTGAAAGACTTTCCACACAGGTTATATTCATAAGGTTTCTCTCCTGTGTGTGTTCTATGGTGGACAGTAAGATTTGACTTCTCGGTGAAAGACATTTCACACATGTTACATTCAAAAGGTTTCTCGCCTGTGTGTGTTCTCTGGTGGACAGTGAGACCTATCTTCTGGGTGAAAGACTTTCCACACACCTTACATTCATAAGGTTTCTTTCTAGTGTGTATTCTCTGATGGACAGTGAGGTGTGAGTTCTGGGTAAAAGACTTTCCACACATGTTACATTCATAAGGTTTCTTTCCTGTATGTGTTCTCTGATGGACAGTGAGAGTTGACTCCTTGGTGAAACACTTTCCACACACATTACATTCATAAGGTTTCTCTCCTGTGTGTGTTCTCTCATGGACAGTAAAGTGTATCTTCTGGGTAAAAGACTTTCCACACACATTACATTCATAAGGTTTCTCTCCTGTGTGTGTCCTCTGGTGTACAGTAAGGTTTGACTTCTTGGTGAAAGACTTTCCACACATGTTACATTCATAAGGTTTCTCTCCTGTGTGTGTTCTCTGGTGGTCAGTAAGATATCTCTTGCAGGTGAAAGACTTTCCACAAATGTTACATTCAAAAGGTTTCTCTTCTGTGTGTGTTCTCTGGTGGACAGTAAGGTATGCCTTACTGGTGAAAATCTTTCCACACGTTTTACTCTCATATGGTTTCTCTCCTGTGTGTGTTCTCTGAGGGACAATAGGGTATGTCTTCTCAGTGAAAGACCTTTTACATTGTTTATATAATTCAACTACAGAAGACACTTGGGGACTATGTACAGCACACATCTTACCAGGTTCACTGAAAACACCCATATTCTGACAACCAGTGACCTTTTCTGTCGTCATTCCTAAGGAGTTCCCATTATTCTTAATCAGTTCTGACTTCTGTTTTGAGCTCAAATTAAAACTTCTTATAAGTCTCACTTTTTCCTCCTCTGGGTTAATATTCATGACTGCTACTTCAGAGAGATACTTATTGTGACTCTCCTGACCGGTGCTAATCACATCCTCCATTTGTGGGACATCTAAAATGCATAATAGAAAAATAGACAAAAACATAAATGAGATCCATAAATTCCTTACTGTAAATGTATTTTCTCACATTTTAACTGTTACAAGATTTTCAAATATGAAAGCATTGTTTTATGCAGAATATATACTTTTCTCTGCAACATACTAACTATGAATGTAGTACTGACATTTTAAAATGGAACATAATGTTTTTCTGTATTTCAGATTTTTCTATTTTTTTCTAGGAAATATTTACTCAAATCATTCATCAATGTACTCTTAATGCTTCCATTCTGAATCTCACTCTATGCCCAGCACAACTCGTAAGCTAGTGTCCTTATCAGAGAATAGCAGCAGTACCATTCTCCTATTTTCCTCCTACCTGCATAATACTAGTTTAAAAGAAAATGAGATCTCCTTTTGTACATTTCTTATTGTCTTTTTCTCATAAAGAATGACTTCCGCCGGGCGCTGGTGGCACAACAAATTCAGTTTGCCTCCATGTGAATTCTGGATTGACAATTCCTTGAGACAAAGGATCACCTAGTTCTTTGCCATACATGACTCAGGGGCACTAGGAATACTATTGCTCTGTACAGCTCAAGATAAACAGACCAAGTCGGCTCTGGACCCATCATCACCATTCAAGATGCTTTAACTCACCTGTAAAATTCTTGTCTGAGGCTTCTCTTATGCATGGATCTGTACCTTGTTCCAGCATCACAATCAATTTAGGTTTAGGAACACAGTGTCCTATGATTACGAAATACTGGAGAATTATTGGTCTTGCTAGGTCATCATTAACGTAAGATCGCAGACATCCTGTTCACAAGGTTGCTCCTAAATCTAGTTCCTCAATTGTTTTTTGGGGGTTGGGGGTCCAGTTCTGCTGCCTAAACTCTGGTTCTGGGCACTGTCTGGCAGATCTTCAGCTCAAGGCTAGCACTGTATCACTTGAGCCACATCGCCAATTCCAGCTTTTTATTTTCTGCTTATGTTGTGCTGAGGAATCCAACACAGGGCCTCATGCATGGAAGGCAATTCCTCTGCCACTGAGCCACCTTCCCAGCCCATGGTTTCCCAATTCTTAACAGCTCCATGGTGGAGTAGCATCCAGCTTTGGGTTTATTTTGCCAACTGTGTGGCTTGAATTCAGCTCTTTTGCTAAAACCTAGCATTCTATTAGTTTGAGTCTTGGCTACATTTCTAGTTTTTGAATGGTTAATTGGAGATAAGGGTCTCATGGTCATTTTTCTACAGCTGCTGGTTTCAAACTGAAAACTTCAGATGTCAGCCTCCAGAGTATCTAGGATTGGTAGCTTGAAGCACTAAAACCTGTAGCAGGTTTGGCTTACAAATACAGACTTTTACTTATTGATTTCCAGAGCATACTGTCAGTAGTAATGAATGTTCTATTCTAGACTGTAGATCCACCTATAATAATTACCCAAGTCTGGCAAGTCAGTTTCCTATTAGTGGATCATAGCTTAGAACATTTGTCAAACTATTGATTTGCCTTCTTAAAGAATGAGAATAGAATTAACTCTTGTGTTACATAAAATGAAGTTGAAGTTTCCCTTAGAAAAAAATAATACTTCCCATGGGCTGGAATCTTTTTTTTTTTTAGAAATTGTAATGGTCCAAATGCTTACACCTGTAATCCTACATTAGGAGGTGAGATCAGAAGAGGCAGGCTTGAAACCAACCTGAGCACCAAAACTCAGAATATACCCCAAAACAAAAGCCAAAATAGAATTGTGGCTCAAGCACCAGTGTGAAAGACAAACAACACCAAGCTCTCAGACTCAAATTTGACTGGCTTATATACTAGAAGTTTTTTACATGGGAATGGACTGGAATCTTCTCCCTAAATAACATAAATAGTCTAATGTCTACTAAAATAAAAGCACTTGATCTACCAAGTAAAAATAACCTTTGCTCACCCAAGGACATGAGGTTGTTATAAGTCTCCAGCATTACATCTCTATGAAGGGTCCTCTGACCAGAATCCAGATCCTGCCACTCCTTCCAGGTGAAGTTCACAGCCACATCATCAAATGACATAAGCTCCTGTAATGGCACATTTCCATCAAGAAATTAGACCTGGGTTATGAGAATTCCAACCTGGAATTTCATTATGCTGCTGGTATGCTTTTGTCTTACATACAATGTTTGCAGCTAGCTTTGTTAACTATTCACTGGGAAAATTAAATAGCAAATTAGAAATATTCAACAATACATAAACCTGGTCATTAAAATACAAAGATTTGCTGGGCATTGGTGGCTTATGCCTGTAATCCTAGCTATTCAGGAGGCTGAGGTCTGAGGATCAAGGATCAAGGCCAGCCCAGGCAGGAAAGTCCATGAGACACTTATGTCCAATAAACCACCAGAAAATGAAAGTAGCACTGTCACTCAAGTGGTAGCACTCACCTTAATCTGAAGAGCTGAGGGAAAACAGCCAGACCCAGAATTCAAGCCCCAAGACCAATAAAAAATTACAGTTTCCATAATGCATGCAAACACATTTCTGCTGCTAGCAATAGAGACAAGATAAAAACTCTAAGGAGACAATAATCTGGCATGATAACGTTAAGTCTAAGGAGGTGTCTGAAAAATTATATTATTATTTTTGATAACATTTCAGTACATACCAGGGTAAAAATTAATTAAACCAATATTTTTCCTGTTTGACACATACTGCTTCACCATTAATCCTATTTAGACCTTCTATTAACAAGTACTCTCAAAAGCAAGCAGCACACATTCAGGATATCACATGGAATACAGAACATAGAACATTGCTAGATCTATGAAAATTAGTGTCCACATGAATATTTTAAAAAAAAACAGTAACAGTACTCCAGAAAGTAACTAATGATTGATTAGGCCCTTATACGATTTAATTGAGTTCCCACATAAAAATATCCGTGGTTTAAAATGTTTGGTTTAAATGCTAAATATTGAAATATGGTCATAGATACCCTGATATTTCCTTCCCATGTAAAAAAGAACTGCTATCATGAAATTTTGTAAACTTTGCCTACATTCTACAATACAAAATAAATGTAGAGGGGAAAAAATGTTCCTTTCAAGGTTTTCATTTTAATAGCCCTTCATGGAAGTTGAAGGCAAATATAGAGAGGCTCAAGGAACACTCAAGATGACAAAAATGATAAATATGACCAAATGCTCAAATGCATTACATATTCCTGAGGTCTTTCTCCAGTAGATCTCTAAGGTTATATTTTCACTTGTGTTAGTTAATAGTGAAATACCTCAGAGATCAAAATCAATTAGTGAGCAAACATCTGTGAGATTTTGCGACAAGAGATATTTCTAATAGAGAACATCTCGTCACTGTATTATTTTTTTTCAACACTAGTTCCCATCTTATACTGGCAGTGAATTAAAATATTCAAAAGTAGTGGGAAGGAAAAACAAAACTGAATACCACATCAAATGAAGTTAGACCAACACAAAATCAGGAGAAAACAGATTTTCTTGTAGTGTATCAATTGGTAGAAGGAAGTACTTTTCTGTAGGGGACTCTGAAGTTGAGCTGAAAGGGAAAAGGTTTGAGAGGTTGGAATTCCAGCCTGACACCACTGAGAGAACTGAGAGCTGGCCGCAGAAGGGTTAAAAGAGAATTCTGGAGATGGTTAAGAGACTGGAGCGCAGGCCTTTTCCTTACTGTTGGAAAGATAGCATCTGAAACTGCGCTGCTGTTCACCTTGAAGGCTAGGTAAGAGGAACTCCATGTCTGCATTTTCTCTTGACGCCAGTCTTCTGTCTCAGGAGAATAAGGAAACATGTTTTCCTCACAACCTGTTGTGGCTCTGATTATACTATTAATATAGATACTTCAATTTTGCATGTTATCAATAGTAATCTTCCCTGTGTGAACTCAAGGAACTATGCTAGCTTGCTGGCACCCAGGGACAAAGGGCCAAAGAGCCTTCGGAACCCTGGTTTCCCCTAAATCTATCTGCTTATGTTTTTGTGTTTCTCTAATTTTCTTTGTTTCTGGAATCCTGTAGAACTCTCTAGGCAACAATTTTTCTATATTATGGGTAAGAAAAATGTCAATCCTAAGAGCCATGTCAGCAACATAAAGCTGATCACTAAGAAAATCTTGTTCCAGATAGATCATTTGAAGAAAAGAAACAACTGAGACACATATGGAGGAAAGAGGGATTGAAAAAAGAAAAAATGATAAAAGATAGATACAAAGAGAGAGTAAGAAAAATAACCAACACTAGTGAGTAGAAAATCAAAAATGGAGAGAGAAAATAGAGGAAAGAAATCTTGTGAGAATGCTTTAGAAAACAAACAGGAATTTGTAGAAAGACCATACAGCTTAGCAACAAATATAGCCTAAGTTTCTAGTAAGACCAAGACCATGAAGCAGTGCAAGAACTATATATGGAGAGTAATTTAAGTACATATAGGTTAATCATTCCTTAAGAACACACGAAGGTGTGCATGACCACACTATTTCAGCAATTCCAGGAAAATTTCATTGAGATAGTTTAATGTTACTCATGAGGATGTGATCTGGTGGCAATCTATCCTTCACCTTCCATGAGAAGTAACCTGCTTGGTGTCATTATATCACATAACAGGTGTGACTACATTTTATGACAAGTTGATACCTAGACATTCTGAAGCCAATCTGAATTCAACTTAGAATATAACCATTCAATCTGCTAAACCTACAAGCAATCTTTATCTGCTAATTTACAAAGCCTTCTTTATCTGATTTATGAATATGTTCCTGAGGCTGAACCTGTGTGGTTGGTATTGTTTTTAATTCTTGGACATCTTTAGGTTGATATAGTGGAATGGAAAACAAATGAAAAATAAAAAAAATCAACTCACCAGAGATCCATTCATTCTGTCTTGCTGCTGACAATGAGCAGAGATATTGGAAGCATGGCTGGAATTTAAGGAAAATGATGCATTCAGAAATGAATCTGTGAGATTTTGGGCCCAGAATTTCC